GCTGATAAATTTGTACATGGTGATTTAAATGTCTCGCTACAAGTTTCTAAGGGTAAAGTCTCAATTACTTAGGTAGTTATGAAAATTAGAAAATTAGAAAATTAGTAGTTATGAAAATTAGAAATTTATATTTTTTAGTCATTGTTCATCTCTAATAGCAAAACTTCATAGTTGTAACATTTTAAAATTGGTGACTTTCACATCAGTATCTAGTAAAAATTTACGAATTTTTCCCATTTCAAATTTTTACATTGTATCGAGACACTTCAATCACTTGAAGCGTGTACATCTCTAAAAAAATCATGAAGTCAGATCTGAACTTAATTGTCGTTTATTTATGTACCAATTATTGTGGAAATACGTCACACCTAATATTCCATAATTTGGTGGTCAGTAATGAGATATAAGGGAAGTTGCTTTCTCAATTATGTATGGCAGCCCAATTTGCATAATTTATTCAAATCAATACATAATTGCAGATTATAATTTCATTCATTCATGTATGTAATTCCAATTCATATTTACATTTGAGGCAATAAACTCAGGCCGTGGCAAGATTGTGTTATACTCAATTCTGTGAAATTCCAAAAAATTTCAAATTTAATTAAAAATATTTCTGGTAAAAATTCTCCTAAAACGAAGCGTCAACACATATATGTATTACAGATTTCGCTATAATGGAGGTGGTTATTTTCAGTGCATTTAAATTTTTAAAGCTTTTTTATAAACTTATGTATATACTTCAGTAACATCTTTGTGAGTTTCCTCTACTTTACACAAAATTGGGTTTATGATTGCAATTAGGTTGTAAATTGGAAGTATGTTAATGGAAGAGGACATTTTAGCAGTTAAGGGCGGTTTACAGGCCATGTTTTTCACGTGAAATAACCTTGACGTGAAAATTTCACGCAAATTTTACAAAATGGTTCTCACGTCAACGGTGAAAACAACGCGTAATTTTCAATCGAGTGAAATTATCACTCAAACTCGATGAAATTTGCGTGAAATGCTTGCACATTATTTCACGTGAAAACTCCGGTTATTTGACATTTTGTATAATGTTGGCATAACCACAAATATGTATGACAACGTTCAGAGAAAATAATACAAATTTTCAAATTGAATGAATAACCTGTAAACGAAGGTATAGAATTTGCGTGAAATTAATTTATTTCTCGCAAATTTCTTTCAAATTTCATTTTGTTGTTGCGGTGAAATTTTCACCGAAATTTCATTTCGCGCAATTTCCTGACCTGTAAACCTTACTTTAACAAAGAATTACTGTGCTTATATTTGAATGGTTGTAAAAATGACATTATGAAAAGCCAAGCCAAGAAAATAACGTTACTTACGAGGGAACCTCTAATAGTGCCGGAGCTCCCAGCATATCCACTATATACATTCGACGTATTTTTTAATACTAGTCCTACGATGTGACAAAATCTCCATGTCAAAATGACATTTGGTCAAGTTGTGACGACTTCAGTGACGCGCGGAAAGGTCATTTCACCATGCTATTAGTTGCGGAGGTACCCGTTCACCACCCGCTCCTCACTCATTTCACTGAAATCCCAAGCCATTTGCTTATCGAGGACATTGTCACCTAATTTAACTAAACTTACAATATAATTGCAATTTATTTACTATTTACAGCTTGTCAAAATTATTACTTTTCCTTTAAAATATGAGTTTAAAAATTATGTATAAAAAATGCCACAACGTCTTATGAATTTAAGCAAGTGGACGGATTTGTTCTTCACAGATGTCGAAGTGGGCGTCAGAATGTTATAAACACGAACGGAAAAAATAATATTGATAAGCTATAAACAGTAAATTGTTAAGATATTGCTAGTGTAGTTAAATTAAGTACCAATGTGCCCAGTGAGTAAATGGGTTGAAATTTTAGAAGTAAGATTAGAAATGTGTGGTGAAAAGAGTATCTGCGCTACTGACATCATGGACGAAAATGACCGTTCGGAGCGTCAATAAAATCGTCACAACTTGACCAAATGTCATTTTGACACGGAGATTTTGTCACATCATAAGACTAGTACTAAAAAATACGTCGAATGTATATAGTGGATATGCTGGGAGCTCCGGGCACTATAAAAGGTTCCCTCGTTAGCAAATATATAAATACATTGGAATTCTATGACGCTTTGTGGACGATGAAGCAAATCGAGGGAATTTAGGTAATGCATATACGATAATAATAAGCAGTAAACTGAAAAGTGGTTATATGCTCTTTACCCGGTTTTTAGTTGTTTTAAATTGAGTTGTAGTTGTATTATAAGGCTTACAATATATGATGTATTGATGCGAGCGAACTCTGACTCTGAAAAAGTTTAATACAGTGGATGTCGGTCTGATGCCAAGTTTTTTAACACTTTTTTAAACACATATTAAGGTTCAAGACTTTTTGCCAGTAGAACCCAACAGAGTTTCTTAATACCCCCACTGATTTTTGAGAGTGGCTGAGGAAAGATGCTATTTGGTATCAGGGCTAAAGCCTAGTGTACAGGTGGGATAAATGTACCGAATAAATTTCTGTAATCGGATGGTAAATTATAAATTCGTAATTTTTAAATGTTCATTTTATTATGAGATCTGCATAATAAAATTTACACGTATGAAAGTTACTAATTTGCAACTTACCATACGATCACAGGCATTTATCCCGTACATTTATCCCACCTGTACACGCAACTTAAGGGCATACTCGACTAGAAAAGGTGAAGTGAAATAAATGAATATTTTTATACAAATAACCCAAATTTTTACCTGGGCTCACCTTGGCTCAGGAAAAACAAATACTGCGCGGTAGATTTGTTAATCTTATTATTAGAAACGAAAAACTAGGTCATTGCAAGATAGCAAATGCAACCTTGATACATTGATGCATGTGCATAGATGCGCGGACACTCAGTGGCGGACACTCGGTGCCGTCCACAGTGTCAGTGTCACTCATTATGGCCGAGTGTCGGTGGACAAGTGTCAGTGTCAGCCACTGTGGCCGAGTGTCGGTGGACACAGTGTCAGTGTCACTCATTATGGCCGAGTGTCGGTGGACAAGTGTCAGTATCAGCCACTGTGGACGAGTGTCGGTGGACACAGTGTCAGTGTCAGCCACTGTGGACGAGTGTCGGTGGACACAGTGTCAGTGTCACTCATTATGGCCGAGTGTCGGTGGACAAGTGTCAGTATCAGCCACTGTGGCCGAGTGTCGGTGGACACAGTGTCAGTGTCAGCCACTGTGGCCGAGTGTCGGTGGACACAGTGTCAGTGTCACTCATTATGGCCGAGTGTCGGTGGACAAGTGTCAGTATCAGCCACTGTGGCCGAGTGTCGGTGGACACAGTGCCAGTGTCAGCCACTGTGGACGAGTGTCGGTGGACAAGTGTCAGTGTCAGCCACTGTGGCCGAGTGTCGGTGGACACAGTGTCAGTGTCACTCATTATGGCCGAGTGTCGGTGGACAAGTGTCAGTATCAGCCACTGTGGCCGAGTGTCGGTGGACACAGTGTCAGTGTCAGCCACTGTGGACGAGTATCGGTGGACACAGTGTCAGTGCCACTGATTTTGTCCGAGTGTCAGTGGACAAAGTGTCAGTGTCTAGCTCAAACGCGCATCTATGTGCATGTGGCCGAAGGCAGCACAGAGTTGAAGACGAATATACAATTTTTATGCTTGCACACGTTTAATTTGTACACCAAAATTATTTTTGTCCGGTAAGATTACATACATGTTTTCGCCAATCCATATGTTCTCATACCCACAATTTTATTGTCCATGCCAAAGCCGTAATAACCCAAACATTATCAAGGTCAAGGTTGAAGAGTTGTAGAGAAATTGCACGCTTTATGATATCATCTTCTGGACCCAACGTTGAATTCTTAACTTATTTAGAGTTAAGTAACTAGATAACGTTTTATAGCATCCTGTTATTTACACAATTGGCACAATACTCATTATTTCATGAAGACTCACTCATTATTTAATCATGGAAGCATGACGCCACACTTGTAAATTGGGTAAATTCCTACAATACATATGCTCTCTTTCAAATGAGCTACCCATTTCTGTACGATAACTGTGCAAGGACGACCCACTTACTTACATAACTCACGTACGGGTGATAATGCCAGAGCAGAATTATTTGCCTTTTAATTAATTCATTCCCACAATGGAGGTCTCCCAACGTATGCTCGCAGATTTGGACCAAACCAGCGTCTATCGATCACAAACATAATTAGTATGAAATTTGCAAATGTCACTATCTGCCAATGCGCAGGTTTAGCGGAGATATTTGCATAAAAAGAGGAGAAAACGTACCCCCAAGGCTGGCAAATTTTTCATTTTCCAAATTTGCTGCGTATTTTTCCCACTTTGGATGCAAATATCTCCGCCAAATCTGCGTATTGGGAGATAGTTTCATTTGCAAATTTCATGCTAATTATGTTTGTGATCGATAGACGCTAGTTTGGTCCAAATCTGTGAGCTTACGTTGGGAGACCTCCATTGTTAGTTATATCGACGACCACTTTTAGTTTAGTGTGTATGTATTTAAGCCTGAATTGTCCAGGATTTTATTTCGTTATGAGTTGAGCGTGAAGATACACACATACCTACATATACATAAACTACTTCTCTTTTTATTAAACTAATTATTATATTCGGCATCATTAGGAATGAGAAACAACTGATTATTTTGTGTAATTTGTATAGAACCCGAAATGAATGAGTGCATAAATTCCTCATGTTTTTACAGTATGCCATGTTCAATGGCAATTAAGCAATTGAAATAAAATCATAAAGCGTGTCGAAAGCAATTAAGGAGATAAGACAGGTTTTTTATTATTTGGAAAAACACTATACATATATGAAAAATAAAGGACAAAGTATGTATTTAGATGACGAGTATTCATTCAGTTCTGGGAAGGCTTGGATAAATTATGTGAAGAAGAGTTAGCTTGTATTTTTGGAGGAAGCGATTTTGTGTATCGGGATGGAAACTTTGTATATTTTGTGCCTAATTCTTGCATGTTTATTGACCCGTTTTTGTATCCGGCACGGTGACACGATTCAAGCCGTGAGACACACGTTTCGTCGCGACCTGTTGTAAGTTAAATTCTTGTTTGGGAAATATATGTATGCGTTGAGTGATTATCATAATTATGAATTATGAAGGTTTTTTTAAACAAACTAACAATGGAGGTCTCCCAACGTATGCTCACAGATTTGGAGCAAACTAGCGTCAATCGATCACAAATATAATTAGTATGAAATTTGCAAATGGAACTATCTGCCAATGCGCAGGTTTGGCAGAGATATTTGCATCCAAAGTAGAAAAAATGCCCAGGAAATTTGGAAAATGAAAAATATGCCAGCCTTTTGGTACGTTTTCTCCTGTTTTTATGCAAATATCTCCGCCAAACCTGCGCATTGGCAGATAGTTCCATTTGCAAATTTCATACTAATTATATTTGTGATCCATTGACACTAATTTCGTCCAAATCTGTGAGCATACGTTGGGAGACCTTCATTGTAAGTAAAAATAGTTTCCGTCAGGGTCACGTGGGTATCAGTATATCTTACTTGCCATTATAATGCGACAAAATGTTAAGGATCTAGTATTTATTCTTGAATCGATTTGTGTTCTTTGTCTGACAATAATTCGGGTGCGAGTAAACAGGTGCAAGAAATAACCGGAAGAATGTAGCTTATTAGAACTGGGTATTATTTTAACCAGGAAGCTTTCCTAGGAGCGAGAAACTGTTTCCTGCCATTATCATTCGTAGGACGCGTGGCTAGATGGCGCATGTTTCTTGCACCCTGCTTTTCATTTGGGTATGTATTTAAATGTTAGAAATAATTGCCATGAAATTCAGATTTGTATGGTAAAAATTATTTAAAAATTAGCTACGAGTTAAAGGGTTAAGTGGTGTTTTGCAAATGACGAAGATTGTACATACGTAGGTCATATAATATTAATTCAACGAGGTAACTTTAGTTTGACCGTGGAAATGAATATTTCGGTTGTTCAAAATTAACCACGGTGTCGTGGCGTCGACTAAATTTAAATATTGCAACAAAATGTATCCCTAAAAATTTTACTTTTTACCTTGATCCAGCATGATTTCTAAATTCATACAACTCACGGTGTGGACATTTCTGGGTGTGAGGAGAATTATGACGGTCTTTAAATATTTTGACGAGACCGTGGCGAAGCGAGGAACGAAGGCGTGTTTCCTGTTTGAAGATGAAATTTGGACGTTTGCTAAGGTAATAGAAATCATTTTGAGAAAATAAATAATGACCTTTAGATGAAAACACGGTAATTTTGGTACAGGTGCAAAATGAGACGTTCCGAGTTGCGAAATATTTTCGAGATGCGGGTTATCAGAAGGGAGACGTTGTGGGGCTCTTGATGGAAAATAGGCCGGAATTCATCTGTACCTGGTTAGGACTTTCCAGGGTAATTGAAAAAAAACATGAACGATTTATTTTTCAGAGGGGAGATTATTCGCAAATTTGAGGAGAGTAGAATATGCAAATAAAATTAGCAATTAGTAAAAATACCGTTTGGTTTAATATTTCTTATAAGTTTGGAAATTTACAATGCCAAGCAACCTTATAATATAAGGCAATTTTAATGTGAAGATTTTCCAGTCATGTAAATTAATTGGACAATCCTTAGTTATTAACCTGCCAAATCTAACTGAAGTACGAAATTGACATTGGTATGCGTTTTATTCATGATTAATTAAGTATTTTGCTACAGATTGGCGTTATAACGAGCCTTATCAACACGCAGTTGCGGCGGAGTTCCTTAACCCACTATCTGAAAGTTTCGAATTGTAGGGGTCTCATCTTTGGGGAAGAATTGACTTGTGGTTAGTTCACTTTAAATAAATAATTACAATGCGATGACGCCAGCGGTCTCGCTCTGATTTTAATGAAACCACGATAAATATGTAGCATTAGGTAAATAATTGAACACATGTTTCGGGATTTTTCATATTGCTCAGTTTAAACAAAGTTATGGGGGTTTAAGAGGCCGAAAATTCGCATTTTTCCCCATCAAAAATAAAAAAGAAAAACTTCACGAGAAATATGCGAATTTTCGGTCACTTAAACCCCCATAACTTTGTTTAAACTGAGCAATATGAAAAATCCCGAAACATGTGTTCAATTATTTACCAAAGGCTACACAATTATCGTGGTTTCATTAAAATCGGAGCGAGACCGCTGGCGTCATTGCATTGTTAGAAGTAAAAATAAATCCAAGCTGAACAAAAAACAGGGTGACCCAATAGTTGTATGAATTATACGAAGTTGTAGTGATGCCCTCATTTTCTTTCTTTTATTCAACCGTAGGTAAATTTATTTTTTTTTAATTTAGGATATCAACATAATAAATATTACAGTTGATTGTTATTTTAAGAAGGTCAATCTCACTAATTCCTTTAGTTTTATGGTAGAATTACGTCGTAATTTTTTAGGCAAGAGTTTTATAGCAACTATTTATTAATGGTTTTAGATAATTACTTATTGTTAGATTTACTATTATTGTTTTACAGCAATTCAAGAATGCTTGGATTCAAATGATCCCGCCGAAAATATTCCGGCTGGAGTGACAGCATTGCACTCCGTCTCGGACAGGATGGCCACAAAGGATATTTTAACTCATGGTCATGTCAATTTAACTCGAGAGATGGGACTCTTCAGTGAGGATGGCTTGTGTTGTGAAGAGTTTCCCGATGTTGTGGGAAGTGAGGATGTTGTATTGCACGTTTTTACCTCGGGAACGACGGGGCGTGCAAAAGCGGCAAAGATGAAACATAGTCGGTATGGAATATTTGTTGATTGGGTGTACATATCTATGTATTTATTGGGTACATTTGGGTGGTAAAGAATTATTAAGAATACATCAACACTTCGAACCTAGGAAATGTTGAAATATTTATAAAACTGATAAAATTAAAACTGCGTCCGGATCCGAATCTGGTGGCCGTTTTAGCAACTAAAAATGCTTCACTATGAGTTTATTACCTCGGATTTAGACCAGACTCACTTGAAATTGTTGAGGGCCCCTACTTTTTGGGGTTTCCTGAATGGGCATGTTTTCGCTTTTGTCGGAATATGTTCAGCAAATTTTTATCCAAAATGTAGATTTCCAAGTACCTTCCGAATTTTTACCCACGTTGAAGGGCAAATCTGTATTTGCTAAAAATCTCTTGCTTAAAAATACGTTTCTAAAAATTTTGTGTGTTGTTTAAAAATTTCAAAAATTGCGGAAGACCTTCAGCTGTTAAGAACTATAAGTTTTTGAGCGGTAGATTTTCTTAATTACTCAGTAATTCTGAACAAGCAAGCAAATTGCTTAATTTGTATATCTGGTCAAAATTTGGAAATTCAGTGGTTTGAGAAATATTTAATTTCAACATTTGTTTAGGTGTTTTTGATGGCTTGAGATCGTTGTAAATTCATTGCACTGTGTTATGTATTGTTCACAGTTTGGCAACATTTGCGACTCCAATTTTCGGCCTGGAATTGAACCCAGACAGGGACGTGCTTCTCACGCCTATCCCACTGTACCACGTGCAAGGAGGTCTGCTCGTCGTGGGGTTGCCCCTGTACCATGGCGTTCCGCAAGTCATTATTCGCAAGTTTTCGGCCTCCAACTTTTGGAAACAATGTGTCAAACACGACGTGACATGCTGCCAATATCTGGGCGAAATTTTGCGGTAAGCAGAAATGAAGGGCATTTTTGAAGGATTTGTTGTAACTTTTTGAATTGCGCGCGCAGATATTTGCTGAATCAGCCTCCAACGAGGGAAGAAAAGTTGCATAAAGTGCACACATTTTATGGGAACGGGGCGAATCCCGTGGTCTGGAAGAGATTCGTGGAGAGATTTGACACCATAAAGATTAAAGAATTGTATGGATCAACGGAAGGAAATTGTGGATCGAGTCGAATTTTTGGAACTTAATGTTACTTCAAAATAATTATGATTTTATTATCATTACCGCCTTATATTTGCATATAAGAGTTGGTTCGTAATTTGGGATAAATTTTAGAAAACGAGTAGAGTTTGGAAAATTTTAAATTACTTTTTGACTGGATTTTGTTTGTTTTTAGTATTTTGCAAAGGATTATATTTACTTAGCTCAATTTTATGTTGGATTGCGACTTGGACATTGGGGGTATTCACTCACGTCAACTTCATAAAATCCGCCTTCTCAACCCAACTTGCCAATTTTTTTCGAAGGGTTACAATTCGTAACCCTTAGTGCATTTTGCAATGCGGCATAATAGCCCATGACAATTGTTTGTACAAAATTTGCGTCGATAAGGCATCGATTATGGTGATAAACTATGTATTTTTCGTAAAACTTGTCGTCAAGAGAAGTTTTACTTCTTCGCTCGTTTTTATTTGATGTATTTTCATGAAGAGTAACTCGCTTAGATACGAAACCGATTTCGCAAATACTATAAATATGAGATCTGTTGTAAAGTGAATATCTGTATACTTTCGATGTAAAACCACAGCATTTTAGCATTTTAGAATTTTAGTGGCGTTTTTGAGACGTGAACCTCAACTCTGCTTTACTTACTTATTGTTTTAATTCAGCGTGGCACATACTACGGCACATTATAAGAACAAGATTGCAAAATGTATAATTTTGTACCGCAGTGAATGCAGAAGCCCACGTTGGCGCGGCGGGCTACTTGCCAATCCTACTTTACCCCTTTCTTCCCTTCTTCTTGCTCGAGTATCGAGCGAAGGCGAATTAGTCCTACAACAGGGCTGGTGCAACATGCCCCGAAAGGAGAGGCGGGAGAGTTGTTGGGGAAAATTGTGAAATCCAATCCATTCCGGGACTACAGCGGCTACACGGATGAGACTCAAAGCAAAGGGAGTATTGTGAAGGGTGTGAAGCAGCTGGGGGACAAATGGTTCCGAACGGGCGACACCTTTACGATGGATAAATTTGGATATGTCTATTTCAAGGATAGGACAGGGGATTCGTTCAGATGGAAGGGTATGGAAATAAGTGAAGAGACTTTTATTATAAAAAGTGTGTATTTAATGGTTATATCCACTGATAAGATTTGAAACCGACAGTTTAATTATGTTGAACATGAATTATAAGGTACTTATGGGCAATGGTTAACACGGTTAGAAAATAATATATGTAGTGGTTCAAATTATTATCGACACATTTTACTTGGAATGTTTAATGAAATCGCAAAAATTTTTTAGTCGAAGATGTCAAGTTTGTAATGCTGTGATATTGTATTTTTGCTATTCTATGATTTAACTTTATTAGTTAAAAAGGATAAAAGGGTTGAGAGAATAGCAATCAATCAATCAATTAACTAAATTAATCAAGCATGTTTTCTTTAGGGGAAAACGTATCGACGTTAGAAGTGGAGCAAGGGGTTGGAAAAGCGATCGGAGTAAATAATGGAGTCGCCACGTTTGGCGTAAGTATTCCTGGAATGGATGGGAAGTGTGGAATGGTTGCAATCAGTGATATCAATGGTGGACTAAACATTTCAAATCTGCACGAAGAATTGTCTCGCTATCTACCGCCATATTCACGACCAGTGTTCGTCCGCGTGATGAGAAACGAGTTGGAAACGACGGGTAGTTTGATTGAATCGTGCTAAAATTGGTGATGATTAAATAAATAAATAAATTTAATTGTATTTCAGGAAGCTTCAAACTGCAAAAAATGGAGCTACGGAAGGCAGGCTTCAGTTCAGCTTTGGAAGTAATTTAATGTCTCTCCGAAACAATGGGAATTACCCTCCGAATATTTAAGAAGTGACCTAAATGGAAAGCAACCTCTTAATCCTTTAAATTTTCCCTCCCGTTAAATGGAAGTAGCCTCTCATTTTGCATATCATAAATCTGTGAAAATTTCTTATCAGTGATGGGTCTTATTACCAGTGTCCGGTTGATTATGTTCTTAAAAACCCTAAATCTTTATGAAAAATTTGTATTAGATTTATCAGACGACATGGTTGTTGTAATACAGATATATTTATTCCGAGCTTTCGATACTGACTTGTATCATCTTCAGGGACGATTTTAGAAAGCGAAAAACATGATTTATTTCACCAAAAACCAGGATTCTTCAATCACTAACGGCTACGGCCGGTGTTTCTGGGTTCGGCCGTAACTCAACAAACTTATTTTTTTAATTATTTTTAATTGTTGGGTAGCAGGGGCTACCCAGCCTTATGTAACTGCTTGTCCGTTCCTCTGTTTGTCTGTTTACTCGCAGAAATTAAATATGTAACACAACTTTGGGTAACTATGACTCGGGCTACACACACTCAATTCTAGAAATTAGCCAGCAATTACAAAATAGTTAAAAATTCTTTCGTTGACCCAGCTACGGCCTCACCCCTAGAGTAAATTGTTTTAAGTCATCCTGACCAAAAACATCTTATCACATAATATTTTTGTAATTCAAAAAACGATATCGTTGTCAGGGGCGCTTGATTAGGGGTAACAATAGTGAAACCCAGATAGGATTCAGGTTCATGTGGTCTTGAATCAAGACTCTTGATTCAGGACGTCAGACGTTTTTCTAATGTACAGACTTTCAAGAAGACTTTCAGACTTTATGTAAAATGTTTAATTGCTTAGATCCCCAAAAGATGTATTTATGAAAAACATTTTTTTAATTCGTTTTAAATTGCTTAAAAATTAGTTTGTTTGACTGCAAGATTGTCAAAAATAGCTTTAATATTTCACACTGACAAATAACAAGCTTTCCACAGGCTTTGGTTTGATATTGCTTTGGTTTGATATTACTTTGATTTGTAAATATATCCGTTTCTACGTCTTACATTTATAAACTACCGATTTTTTTACCAGGCTGTATTAAGACATTTCGGCATTTAAAAATTTTAAACTCAGGGTAAATTAAGATAAGATAAATTAAGACATTTTTACCTGACGATTTAAGATAATCTCAGGGCCCATTAAATTTTACCCTTACATTAATGATCGGAATTATTTATGTATTGCGAATTTCTGAGATTATCGTATATTTTTAAAGATGAATTTCGTCAAGCAATTATAAAAGAATTTTTCGATGTTGTTCTGAACCCAAAACCTGTACCAAGCGGAAGGGTGAAGAACCTGTTAAGTCCACAACAGCCTTGAGTACCATGTAGTTTTTAAAATGCATGCTTTTATGGAAGCCTTAACTTTAATTGCATATAAATGATACGCTTTTTACATATATAAAATTCTGAAATTATGGCTTGTAGATATGTACATTATTTTAAGAGGTAGTTTGCCACCAAAATCCTAATTCAAAAATAACTTTAAGAGGCAGGTATCCATGAAGGGTACTTCTGAAATATTTGGAGGGTACTTCTCATTTAATTGGAGAGGCTTTAAATGCATGCCTTCAGCTTTAATGAATAAGGATTTACTTTACGTTTTACAGGGTGGAAAATATATTCCAATGCGGAGTGAAATTTACGATGACATTTTACACGGGAAATTTAGAGTTTGACGGTAATGCAATTATAGTTAGTAATTAATTACTTATGTGCTTCAGATCAATTTCGGAGAAATTAATTAACTACGAAATGTACTTAAACGGTCTTACTTTAATATTTGAATCCATATTTTGTATTTTTGAGACCATCACTAAGATCAGTTCTGTTGTTAATAAAATAGATTCCCGGTATGAATAATGTATGCTTTTATTAATTTGAGTTATTGGTAAAATATGTAGATTAATTCACATCTTCATTTTTAATTACAATCCTTCGGTATATTTAAATATCTGCATAATTCTGTACATGCAGAAATGTAATGAAATTTCATCTATGTAATTAATTACTAATTACGAAAGTAAGGGTAATTTTGATTCATCACCCGACTGATATCAGATATGTCGGGTAACGAATTACACAATTAGAATGTTCAATTGAGAAATTACTTGCTTTCGTCGAGTCAAAAAAAGTAATTAAATACAAATTCAAGTAATTAATCGTCACTATACCTTATTTAAACTAGCTAATAATTTCGTGTACCGCGTTTGACCTTCCTGTTAATATTTCATAGCCAAGACAAAGAAAGCAGCCAACAAAGCAAATCCCACAAATATAGAATCCCGTGACGACTTTAGAGTTGTAATTTAGTTGTGATACAGCATCAAATTTTGGAAAAGTCCAATTTGCATAGAGATGAAATAATTTTGGCGACTTAAGAATACGAAACCAATTTTCCCAATGACCATAAATTCCCGATGATACCATAGTCTGTAGCCTTCTCTCGACATAGTTACCACGAACTGGATAAATTTCCCAACCACGAGATACCTTAAAAAAAGGTTCTACTCCACTCAAGTATTTGATGTTGTCCGGATTATCATTCAAGAATGGTAGGAGTGAGGCCACGTTTTCTGTCGTGTCGATAAACGCTATTTTTCCACAAGTTGACAATTCCTCTACAAGTCGAGCCGTTTCCCTGTATTCGATCGGTTTGACGGGTGAATGTGCAATTAGATGGATGCGGACCATTTTTTCGAGTCGGGTTCCAAAAGCTTCCACGCTTCCATTATCGATGGGAAGCATTTGCGTGTATGTGGGATCGAGCATCATGTTTTCCATAATTTTCGCAATTTCCTTAAACCTAAATTGTAAAGGTGTCACGATTAACCCTAATTTAGTTCGATAACAGACTAAGATAATAAATTTTGCTCATATTTACAGAATAGAAAAGAAGTTAATATGCCTGTGAGTATTTGTAAAGGCGGTATGATCCGGTACATTTAGAGCTTTGAAGTTGCAAGCAATTGCATAAACTTAAAAAAATTCTAACGTTTGACTGCACGGTGGCCATAAAGTCCGGAATTATTCATGACTATGACTTCATAATACTGGGAAAAAGGTTCTGAAGCACTAAATGTGCCCCCAAATCTTGTAACAAGTACTAATTCCTAAAGATGTATTTACTTATTTGCATGTTCTGTCAGCTCTGTTGGTACTATCCTTTGTAAAATCAACTTACCTAATAGACTTGTGGAATTTGTCGTACATCTGCTGGCCAAAGTAGAGATATGGAGGCGAGGGCTCCAGTTCCGAAAACTCGAACATATTTAAGGGAAGAAGTGCCTCCATTCCCTCAATCTCTAGCCATGTTTCCCATGGTGGTGCATACAGAGCGGGTACAATCATATCCATCGTGAAGGATGTCTTGTACCAATTCGTTAGGAATGATCCACTCGTTAGAATCCATACCCCGAGTAATACGCGTACCCCGAATACCCTTGACTTAGGCGGAAACCGTTCCTCAAATAATTTGATATTCCACGGAATTGAGTTCTCTAGAACTAAGCAAATCATAACGCAGAGTCCGTCTGACCTAGAGGATCGACGAAGCAATGTCAAAATAAGTGCCGTAACAGCAACCATAAAAAGAATACTAATCCACGAGGTAGCGTCGAAGGGAGTGGCTAATCCGCTTAGAATAAACATGTCGGATTTTACCTTACAACAAGATACGAAACTGAAGCTTGACATCTTTCCCATAACAAAGGTAAACTGTTTATTAATATTGTCCACCGGTGAGGGGGCAAGATGACGGGGCGTGATGTTTAGACTAGAATATTCCGACGCATCTTGAAATGACCAGAATGAGGCTAATTCGGTTGGCTTGATCAGTTTTACAATTTCATGAAGATCCCTTTGTTTGGAGCCTTTCTCATACCACGTTCTAACCTTCAACTCTATATCCTTTTTACGTTGAAACAATACCGTCGTCATAAAATATTTACTTAGCTGGTCAACACGTTTTGAAATGATTTGAGCATCGTTGAAACAGTCGGAACCCGCATGGGGTAAACATTCTATCGTGTACCACGCTTGTGAGGGTTTCCCAATCACTAATAAACCTTCGGTATGATAAGTATTGAAATATTTGAGGTATAGTACGTTAATAATTGACCCTGGAATTGGACATATTTATTTCAATAACTAATATCTGAAACAGCCGGAAATCCACTATTCTGACTTCCCACTTTGGTAAATTCTGTTCAATTTCAGGCTTAAAGTTAGTTACTAAAATTAAAAATTTTTGACCAAACCATGGTTTGATGATATAGTTTGAAGCCGAATAATAATAATCCTGCATAACTCCTTTGCCAGGAAGCAGGTCAAACAAGGCCCAGCAATGTGGGGCAGGATTTATGCGTCTTTCTAGGGAAAACCTGGCTTCAAGTACTTCCGTTTCTTGACCGGATGTATTTCGTAAGATAATTGGAGTTCGCTCAAGCTGCATGTCTTGACTTTTGTAAATGATTATAATATTGGTACAGTTTTCAAATATTTCGACGTAATAGTTAACATAAGTTGGGTTTAATTCGTGTGGGGTTTTTGGGTTAATAAGCTGACTTGTCGCTGGAAGTAATAATTCAGTATTCATGTAGTAAATTGTGAAAAGGAAAGATATAGAAAATTTAAAATAAAACAGGAAACTCATTTTAAAGTCTGGTTGTACCCAGGCAGTTTTGGTTATGGTTTTATTGGCTGAATTTCGTAGGGTGAGCAAGCGGCATGGGCAATGTGGGAAATGATTATACTACATGAGTCTAGATTTCTGCTGGAGTTTTATAAGTGTTAAGTTTTTGGATAATATGTTGGTTGTTCAACGAGTTGGACTGTTTTCAAATTTTTCATGTAATAAGCGGATGAAGTTAAATTTCATAATTTGAACCAGGAATTCGTAAAGTTTCCAATGGTAATTGAGTAAATAGGGTACTTATTGCGGAATTGTTTTGTTAAACTTTGTGATTCGTAATTTCCTTTCTTGGAGGAAATTATGCTCCTAGACGGCTAAACATATATAAACAACAGGAAATACATAAGTACTTATGCATATATCAATTAAGTAAAAATTTAATTTGAAGCAAACTGCGTGGGTTTTAAGATTATCACGAAGTTTGGACTGCAAGGCGAGAAATTTGTTGACGAAAATTCTAGGTTCGAAATGAAAATTTAACTTGAATATTATTTAAGTGTTATTCTTCGATTAAATAAGTAAGTAAACGTTATCCAGTCATGCGATGTCTCATCCGAGTACATACATGGAAATTACAGGGTGGATACATAGGTTTTGGGTAGTTTTTGTGTAGTTATGGGTGAATTATTTTATATTCAAATACAAATGTAACCCTGTATGTAATAATACATATGTGCGTATTAGTAACAATAGCCTTGTGTGAAATTTGATGATCTGCACGTTTAAGAAATGTTTGGAACATTTTCCCCTGATGAATATTTCTATTTGTGATCGAAAGTTATCAACAAATGTAATCCATATGTGCTGGCAAGCCGTCGAAAATTCTATTTTGCAGAATTACCATAATTGAATTTTGAATTGAATTTTATTGGCTTCGTTTTTTGGGCCATAGACCCATAAAGGTACATGTTCATGAAATATTGTACAATATTTGTAAATTACCACAATTGACTATTGAGGGTTGGGAGGGAGGGAGTGAATCAATTATTGGGGGATGATTGGTGGACATAATTTGAATATATTGTTTAAAATTAGAAATTAATATATACAGATTAGTTCAATACTTCGTAGCCCAGACAAAGGAAGCAGCCAACTAAGAAAATCCCAGAAATATAGAATCCCGTGACGACTTTGGAATTGTAATTTAATTGTGAAACAGCATCAAATTTAGGAAAAGTCCAATTTGCATAGATGTGAAATAACCTTGGCGTTTTCAGTAACCGATACCAATTTTCCCAATGACCATAAATTCCCGAGGATACCATAATCTGCAACCTTCTCTCGGTATAATTACCACGAACTGGATAAATTAGCCAACCACGAGAAGCTTTGAAAAAGGGTTCAACTCCAGTCAAGTATTTGATGTGGTCTGGATTGTCATTCAGGAAGGGGAGAATCGCGGCAATGTTTTCAGTAGTGTCGATAAAGGCTATTTTTCCACATGTCGACAATTTCTTTACCAATCGATCAGTTTCATTGTCTTGGATCGGTTTGATAGGTGTTTCTGAAAGTATGAGCGTGCGGATTGCCCAATCCAGTCGAAGTATGAATGAATCAAGGCTTTCATTGGGAAGCATTTTTGAATATTTGGAGTCAAGCCTTACGTTGCTCGGAAGTTGTCCAATTTTTTTGTACCTTAATTGAGTATGAATCAAACGTAAGTCGAATTTATATCCGGTAAGAAGTCGGATGGCAGGTTTGGCTCATATTTGCAATATACAAAATATACAACTCAATACACCTAAAATTACTTGTTATTGAATTAAGAAATTAAATATACAAAAGAACAAGTATAGCCTCTCCGCGAAAAGGATTTCATACCTCTAAACATGCCTTTGTCGAACGTTCCTGTGCGGGTCAATAAAACGCACACTTTTGTGCGATAGTTTTTTCTGGCATTTAACGTTCCCTTGGATCACGTGACTTTTTGGGCTCCCGTTACCCCTTCCCTACATGGACTCGTCCACTTTCATTTACACTCAATGTTAAAATTTCAAAATTATTCAGCAGGGTCAATTTTGCATGAAATTAAAACCTAATTTTCTAAAAGCAACCATAATTTCAAGGTTTGCAAAGTTAGGAGATAACAAGTTCAATTGAGTTGCTTGTGGATATGGAAATTAACAATTTCTCTCAATAAATCACGATTTTTAAGACAAATTGTTAATTT